ACTTTTGCATCCATGTTCATCAAGGATATTGGTCTGTAATTCTCCTTTCTGGTGGGGTCTTTTGTCTGGTTTTGGGATCAAGGTAATGTCAGCCTCACAGAAGGAGTTTGGAAGTTTCCCTTCCATTTCTATTTTTTGAAACAGCTCCAGAAGAATAGGTACTAATTCTTTTTTAAATGTTTGATAGAATTCCCCCAGGGAAGCCATCTGGCCCTGGACTCTTGTTTGTTGGGAGATTTCTGATTACTGATTCAATTTCCTTACTGGTTATGGGTCTCTTCAGGTTTTGTTTTCTATTTCTTCCTGTTTCAATTTTGGTAGTTTATATGTCTCCAGGAATGCATCCATTTCTTCCAGATTCCTAATTTGTTGACATATACTTGCTCATAATACGCTCTTAAAGTTGGTTTTGTTTCCTTGGTGTTGGTTGTGATCTCTCCTCCTTCATTCATGATTTATTTGGGTCCTTTCTCTTTTTGATATGTCTGGCCAGGGGCTTATCAACCTTAATAATTCTTTCAAAGAACCCGCTCCTAGTTTTGCTGATCTGTTCTACTATTCTCTTGGTTTCTGTTTCATTGATTTCTGCTCTGATCTTTATTATTTCTCTTCTCCTGCTGGGTTTAGGCTTTATTTGCTGTTCTCCAGCTCCTTTAAGTGTAAGGTTAGGTGGTATATTTGAGCCCTATGTTGTTTCTTGAGAAAGGCTTGTATTGGTATGTACCTCCCTCTTAGGACCACCTTTGCTGCATCCCAAAGGTTTTGAACAGTTGTGTTTTCATTTTCATTTGTTTCCATGAATTTAATTCCTTAATTTCCTGGTTGACCCATTCATTCTTTAGTAGGATGCTCTTTAGCCTCCATGTATTTGAGTTCTTTCCAAATTTCCTCTTGTGATTGAGTTCAAGTTTCAAAGCATTGTGGTCTAAAAATATGCAGGGAATGATCCCAAGCTTTTGGTACCAGTTGAGACCTGATTTGTGACCCAGTATGTGACCTATTCTGGAGAATGTTTCATATGCACTCGAGAAGAATGTGTATTCTGCTCCTTTAGGATGGAATGCTCTGAATAATATTATCTGTGAAGTCAATCTGGTTCAGTGTGCCATTCAAAGCCCTTGTTTCCTTGTTGATCTTCTGCTTAGATGATCTGTCCACTGTTGTGCGTGGGGTATTTAAGTCTCCTTCTATTATTGTATTATTATCAATGTGTTTCTTTAATTTTGTTACAAACTGGTTTATATAATTGGCTGCTCCCATGTTAGGGAAATAAATATTTATAATTGTTAGATCTTCTTGTTGGATAGACCCTTTAATTATGATACAGTGTCTTTCCTCATCTCGTATTACAGTCTTTGGTTTAAAATCTAATTTGTCTGATATAAGGATTGCTACCCTAGCTTTCTTTTCATGTCCATTAGCATGATAAATGGCTTTCCACCTCCTCACTTTCAATCTGGAGGTGTTTTTGGGTCTAAATGAGTCTCTTGCAGACAACATTATCGATGGTTCTTACTTTTTTTTATCCAATCTGATACGCTGTGTCTTTTGATTGGGGCATTAACCCATTTACATTCAGAGTAACTATTGAAAGATATGAATTTAGTGCCACTGTATTACCTGTAAAGTCACTGTTTCTGTAAATTGTCTCTGTTCCTTTCTGGTCTATGTTACTTTTAGGCTCTCCACTTAAAAGATCCCCTTTAATATTTGCAGGGCTGCAGGGCTGGTTTAGCGATCAGAAATTCTTTTAGTTTCTGTTTGTCCTGGAAGTTTTTTTATCTTTCTTTCTATTCTGAATGACAGCCTTGCTAGATAAAGTAACATTGGTTGTGTATTTTTCTCTTTAACACCCTGAATACATCATGCCAGTCCTTTCTGGCCTGCCAGGTCTCTGTGGATAGGTCTGCTTCCAGTCTAATGTTTCTACTCTTGTAGGTTATGGACCTCTTGTCCCAAGCTGCTTTCAGGATTTTTTCCTTGTCTCTGAGATTTGCAAGTTTCACCATTATATGTCAAGGTGTTGACCCATTTTTATTCATTTGGGGGTGGGGTTTCTCTGTGCCTCCTGGACTTGAATGCCTGTTTCTTTCCCCATTATACGGAGGTTCTCTGCTATAATTTGCTCCAATATACCTTCTGCCCCACTCTCCTCTCTCTCTCTTTCCTCTTCTCTGGGATTCAAATTATGCTAATATTGTTTTGCTTTATGGCATCACTTAACTCTCGAATTCTCCCCTCGTGATCCTGTAGTTGTTTCTCTCTCTTTTTCTCAGCTTCTTTATTCTCCATCATTTGGTCTTCCATATCACTGATTCTCTCTTCTGCCTCATTTATCCTAGCAGTTAGAGCCTCCACTTTTTATTTTATCTCATTAATAGCCTTTTTGATTTTGACTTGATTAGATTTTAGTTCTTTTATTTCTCTAGAAAGGGATTCTCTAGCGTCCTCTATGCTCTACTCAAGCCCAGCTAGTATTTTAATAATCATTATTCTGAACTCTAGTTCTGACATCTTACTTATATCCATACTGATTAGGTCCCTGGCAGTCAGTACTGCCTCTTGTTCTCTTTTTTGAGTTTTTCTGCTTTATCATTCTTGCCAGAGAAGAATACATGAACGAGAGAACAAAATACTAAAATGGCAACAACAACCCCAGAGAAATATATACAAACAATTCAGAAGAGACCCAAAATGGGGGTGGGGGGGTGCGGAAGAGAGAGAATATAATCAGACAGGTGAACAGAACAGAGCAACACACTAGATCCTGTGTGTATTTCTGTTAGAAAACTAGATCCCTCAGGGAATCTGAGCCCGGGTGGCTCAGTTGGTTAAGTGGCTGCCTTTGGCTCAGGTCATGATCCCAGAGTCCTGGAATCAAGCCCTGTGTCGAGGTCCCTGCTCAGCAGGGAGCCTGCTTCTTCCTGTCCTCTGTGCTCTCTCTCTCAAATAAATTAAACCTTAAAAAAAAATAAAGAAAACTAGATCCCAAAATTGTAAAGAAAGAAAAACTTACCTATGTATAAAAATAAAATTAAATACAATGAAAGAATAGAATGTAACTGTACAAATGAAAATTAAAAGACAAAAAACAAAAAAGAAAAAAGAAGAAGGAACATAAACAAACAGGTCAACAGAACAGAGCAATACACTATATCCTGGGTGTATTTTGGTCTGTTTGTTAGAAGAAAGTACATCCCAAAATTGTAAAGAAAAACATGTGCGTGTGTGTGTGTATATATATATATATATATATATACATGAAAATAAAATTAAACACATTGAAAGGATAGAATTTTACTGTAAAGATGAAAATTTAAAAAGATTTTAACAGAAAAAAAAAAGAAGAAGAAAAAGGAGAGAGTATGATCAGACATTTGGTCTGTTTGTTAGAATAAACTGCATCCCAAAATTGTAAAGAAAGAAAAACTTATGTAGAGACAAAAATAAAATTAAAGACAATGAAAGGACAGAATGTAACTGTGAAAATGAAAATTAAAAAAGACTTCTAAAAAAGAGTTGATAAAATAGGAAATGAGTTGAAAAAGGAAAGAGAAAAAAATATATATAAATTGAAAGACTAAAGAACCATGGGGGAAAAACCATGAATTTTATATACTATTTTCCCCTAGCGCTAGAGTTTTGCAGTTCTGTGTGATCAGTAAACTTGGTCTTAACCAGATATTCTTGCTGATCTTCTGGGGGTGGGGCCTGTTGCCCTGATTCTCAGGTGCCTTTGCCTGGGGTGGAACTGCACCACCCTTGACACGGGGCCAGACTAAGTTAAGTAGCTCTGGATTGCCCTATGTGGCTTTTTTTCCCTGAAGGCTTTCCATGCAGCTTTAGAGGATGAGAATGAAAATGGCAGCCTCCCAATCTCCAGCCCCAGAGCCAAAAGCTTGGAGCCCCACTCTTCAGTGAAGCCTCAGGGAAAAGCAGTCAATCACCCCTATCTCCCTGGATTCCATCCACACTCCTTGCTCACCCGGCCTGTGACCTAGCGTTTCTATCTCAGGCATGCGACCCTGTTTCGAGTCTCCAAACCTTGCAGACTCCTGCAGTGCCCACCCGTGCCACTCCTCCCAGGGAAGGAAGGGGGTTCTGCTACTCACTGGGCCCCAGCTCAGACAGCAGTCACCTGACCATGCTACAGTTCATGGTTTATGGCAACTCAGAGCTGAGAGCCCACTCCTGGGCTCACTGACTGCAGTGGGCTTCACCACTCTGATGCCTGGGAGCTCTACCACACTCAGACACCACCAGTCTTATTATGACCCTGGCCATCCTGAAACCACACTGTCCCCGCTAGAACTCTGTCCTGCTTCACCACCTTAGTGCCTTTCAGGCAAGGACATCTCTCACTGGAGCAGACTTCTAAAAGTTTTGATTTTGTGCTCCACTGCTCTATCACTTTCTGGTGCCGGCTTATGAAGGCGCCTTCCCCCCGTGGTTTATCTCCCCATGTATCACCTTGGATTCACTTCTCTGCTCCTTCTACCTTGCAGAAAGTGGCTGCTTTTCTATTTGTAGAGTTGCAGCTATTCTTTTCTTAGATCTCTGGTTGAGCTCGCAAGTGTTCAGAATGATTTGATAGCTATCTGGCTGAATTCCTGGGACCAGACAAAACTAAGGACTCCTACTCCTCTGCCATCTTGGACTCCCCCCCAGTCTTGGTTTCTTTAAAGATTTATTTATTTGAGAGAGAGCACACGCGCATGAGTGGGGGGAGGGGCAGAGGGAGAGAATCTTCAAGCCGACAACCCCCTGAGCGCAGAGCCCTACTCAGGGCTCGATCTCACAACCCATGAGATCATGACCTGAGCTAAAATCATGAGTTGGATGCTTTACCGACTGAGCCACCCAGGTACCTCATGATTCAAGTTTTTAAATGCAGGAAATTACCCTCATTAGGTTTAACAGTAAAGAATAAAAGCATCTGTACCACACAGACCATCTCCTTTGTGATTCCTCTTTAAATTAATTTTAAAGATAGAACAAACCTTTGATGGAGGAACTGCTGAAGAACTTGAGGGTGAAGTGTCTCTTGATGTTTTCAAAGACTGAACAGGTCTCTCTTTACCTATACAAGAAAATATAAAATGCAATTTTCTAGCTCATTTGTTTTCAATTAGAGTGATTTTGTAATTAAACAAATGAGGGGGTGTCATATACTTATTTTAGTACTGAGGTCTTCATTATTAAATTAAATCCTTTAATATCTAAACCTACCTCTCTCAGAGGCAAGGTACCATAAAAATTTTCAACTAACCTAGAACCAATGGACACCATATATGGCAATCTAGGCCACATTAATGCTAGTTAGCAAACACAGAACCACTGAGAAGACCTCAAGAACGGGAAAAGACTAAAATCATAAATACTTCCTCCTCTAAGTTCCTAAAAGCTAACTTTTAATTTATCAATAAAAATTAACAATAAAAAGTAGTTATTATATAAATACCACAAAGAAAACTAGCTAATTAAACAATAGCTCAAAGTGAGGGGCATGTAGGAAATCTAGCAGATATTCCTGAAATATTTAGTTTAAAAACTAAAAATAAAAACTAGAAAACTGTAATTTAGAGCACTATCCTAATGCCTGGTTTGAATAAGTACCCATTTATTTGTTAAATGGTTAAAAATAAATCTGTGTGAAATAGTCACTAACCTTTATCTTTAGTCACTACAGACACTAATGTAGTGCTATATATATATATATATTGTACATATATATACACACATATACCGTTTTTACAGAAACTTAAGCCAGAAAATAGATTTAAACATTAGTCAGTTCAGCACAGAATATTGTCTTAGTTAAATATAATCATAACAATAACTGTGAGCTATTACTGATAGAAAAACATTTCATTAAATTATCTGTATGTGTCAAATATAAATTCTCTGCTCTTAATTGCTAAAAATAAATAAATAAATAAAATTTTAAAAAAACCTGACAAAATTAAATTACAGAGAAAAGGAGAAGGTGGCACCAAGTTTGGATTGACACAGAAGCTGGTCAAGACTAGCCAGTGGGTTATGGCCAAGAAAGCAGTCAAGGGCAAAAGCAGACACAAAACGACCTTGAAACTGAAGCAAAGCCAGCTTCAGTCAAAAAGCCTCTTAAGCTCTTCCTGCTATGGTCAAGACTGCCAAGTAGGAGCCTAGAGCCTCAAGGCTCCTGACCATGTAGGGCAGTAGTAAATATCAGCTCTATCCAATGTCATGCAGCCCTGAAAAGCCTTTCTGCAGACGCTCCCCTCACCACCTCCCCAGGGATATCAGGCAATGTGTGAAGATATTTTTCATTGTCACAAGCGGGAGAGTGCCATTGGCACACAGTAAGTCGAGGCTAGGATGCAGCTAAAACACCCTACAAATGCACAGGACAGCCTCCCCCAACAAAGAATCATCTAACCTCAATTGTCAACAGTACCAAGGAAGAGAACTCCTGGTCTAGGCACAGTATTCTACCTTGGAAACTCCAACAGTCTCATAAAAAATCATAACCCTAGAATCTTTTAACTTGTGGCATTAAGAGGCTTTCACACTAAGTAGTTTAAAAGTTCTTGTAGACCTTAAAAATCAAAAGATACCAACTAACACTACATCCCAAAATGACTAAGAACATGATTTCATCATTCCTACTTTATTTCTATTACATATGGCAAATTCCTCATCATATTGTGACAGTGTCAGTCTATTCCACTGCACCAGAAGCTCCTAGAGGTGCAAGTATCATAGCTTATTTCTATCATAGCTTTAATACCCAGGGCCTACCCTGCTCAAGTCCTTTAAGAAGAGAATAAATACTCAAAAATTAGGTGAAAAGATAAATTATTTTTCTACCTTTAGGATACAGTGACCTCCCCATTCTATTCAGATAAGCAATTCCTTGAAAGAAGGTGAGGAGTTCAACCAATCAGCACATCGAACTATGCTAATTAAAGGCATAATTATAGGCTCAATTCTGACACATAGCAGCTAGACACAGAACAAGCAGCTGTTAATCTCTTACTTAGCAAAATCTTAACAAACACATCAGCACTACAGGTATGTCAAGTATAATAGGATCTTTCCTGTAGTCTTAGGATCTTTCCTGATTTTAGCTGCATTAGGGCTAATTTAAGCAGATTTCTCAGTGTGCAGAAGCAAAAGAATCCTGAAGGATAGAGCAGGTGGTGTATCATATATCCACATATATTCATATATACCTGTTGCATGAAGGGAAGGGACAGGCAAGAAGCAAAGGATAAAGAAAAAGGATGCTACAGATGGCAGAAGACCACAGAAAAGGTAAAAAGAAATACCCTGATCTTACTGTTGTTCAGTTCTGTCAATGATTTGTTTATTCTACAAATCTCAATCTCCTTTGAGGTGGCTATTCCTGACCAGACAAGCAATTCACAATCCTACTATCTGTATCTACTACTATTAAATTCTGGTTCCAACTAAAGACTAATTGGGCAGTTATATACTTTTCCCATTTCTGAAACCTCCATCAATTCAAGTCCCCCACCCCTTCACAATCCCAAATCAAAATCTAACTCAAAACTCACCTCTTTCTGGATTTCCTTCATTCTGCCGTTTGTAGGAGGCACCAGCACGGATGGACTCTAGGGAAAGGTGGGCAAGGAGGAATTAACACCAGCACCTCTGTGCCCAGGAATGACAAGAGAAGAACCCAGAAGTAGGAGTGATGAGAACAGGAACTTCTGAGCATTTGCTGGTGACCCTAAACTCTTTCCTACCCTGCCTTCAAATTGGGATGCCTGAACAACCAACACTAAAGAGTAATAACAGAACAGGAGAAAATTTCTGTTTTTAAGATTAGAAGCTAATTGGGTCCAACAACAATGAAGTGTTAAGATTAGGCTAACCATAGATAACATAAACAGAAAGGAATGAGAAAAGGATTATATAGTAAGACACCAAAAATTGAAAATAAGGATCAGGTCTTACTCATCATTTTAAGCACCTATTCTAATCTTCATGAGGTTGGCAAAGGATTGGTTCAAGAATCACACACACACAGTCAAGAGAGAAAGATGAATCACCACTAGAAATCAAAAAGAATACTGGTGAAGTTTTCACAGTGTATCATATCTGTTCCCTAGGCTTACAGTAGCTATCTGCAAGGAGTCATTCTGATTTGCTCTCAAAAGTAGCCCATTAATAAATCTTGCTACTTCTTTTTATACAAACTCTCTAAGGTTTTTCTTTATAAACAAATCCACAACTACTGTCTTGCTAGAATCCCTAATTATCCCATATTTACAATCTTGTGAATATTTTGTTAGCTTCCTTACCTGCAAACTCAGTGATACAGGGGTACTTAACTTTTTAAGTAGATTAAATATACTAATAGGTATCTTTCCAATAAGATGAAAACTCCTTAACACTTCAAATTTTTATATTATAGATCCCAAATTGCCAATTCTACCCCCCCCCGAGAACTGTTTTGGCACTGTTAGCACCCACCCTGCATTAAAAAAAATATTTCAAGAAAAAAATATATTTCAAGAAATATGCAAATATTATCATCCTACTTCCGCAAGAATGTTGTTAAAGATGCAATATCCTTCTCCCCTGGGTAACTGATCTCTCTGTTATCAGGAAAATTTTTGTTCCTCCTGAGCAGCTGATCTGTTTTTATCTATTACTGAATACTTAACCTCTTTGTTTTAGCCAAATCCTTATTGATCTCAGCAACTGCTCAGAGCTTTCACATTGGCATTTATTCTTTATTTTCATGTTTATTTCTTTTACAAAAAATTCTTCACCCATTTACTTAATCCTGTTTTATTACGTGTTTATTTTGTAACTTGTCTCCCATTCTTTGTAGATCAAGAAATGAGAACACTGGTATTTTACAAGAGTGTCTGGAATCCGGGGATGGCTCATAATAGTTGATGAGAGTGGCTTGTCCGCATCTCTTCCAAACTCCAAGTTCAGGGACTCCACATCAGTAAAACCTGAGATCAGTCATTATGGTAGTATTCACTCTGTGGCAAATGCCACAAATCATGTGTTGTTCCCCTGAAGAGTCAGTTCACCAATACACCACTGGTGCTGTTTATTGATTTCAATACCAAATTTCAGAGACATTGCAGGAATTACCACATTTAACTACAGATTCCTACCCATAAAAAACAGGGCTGGGCTATTTAATAATATCCTAAAAGACCAATAAAACCACACAGCTGAACCCAGCTCAAATTGCAGATTCATAAATGAGTGCTTATATTAACCCTTTAAGTTTTAGGGGTTTTTGTTTTTTAACACAAGAGATAACAGAAACAACCCTGTTATGCTTAAACTTTTCATCTCAGCGTTTCCAATGATCTGTTTATATTAAAACTAATTAAAACTGTCCTCTATTATAGCATTTTAATGATTTAAAAACAATTTTTTCTTGGGGCACATGGCTGGCTTAGTCAGTGGAGCATACAACTCTTGATCTTGGGGTCAGGAGTTCAAGCCCCATATTCGGCATAGATTATTTTTAAAAAATAAAAAATAAAATTTTTTTCTTAACATTCTGCCATTTGGTTTTCATGCCTTTGTAATTCTTTGTTTGTCCTCCTACATGTTCCTAACTATACCTTTCTCTTTCTTCTTTGTTGGTTATTGTTTCCTAAATGTGAGTGTGTTCCTCCTAACCTTTTTTAACCTCGCTTGCTATTCTTACATGGCTCCAACCAACACTATGAATACAAATTTCTCTTAAATCTACTTTCACTCATACCTTTATACTTTTAACTGACAGGGTGCTACTCCTTAGCTATTTAGCCATTACTTCAAATTCACTTCACACGTGTTCTTACTAAGCAGACACTAACACCCTGCTTGAGAGCAGGGCAAAAGGGCTCAACACCTTTGCTGTAACATGCTAAAGAAAATGAACCCCAAATTAGGATGAAAGAAAGAAACCAGGAAAGGAAAATTCTGAAGGTGGCAGTATTAAAACCGAAATCCAAGTCAACGTACTAGTGAGTTACAAGAATAAATGGGGAGGAAGAAGATGAAGAGGAACACTGGTTCCATAGATCAGGTAAAAAGTTCTTTCCATGGAGGTGAAGTCAAAGCTGGACAAGCAGGTTAATTTTCCAACAAACATTCAGAAGTACTATAAGAATTTAATATTTCGTGACTCTGAATAGAACAGCTGATATGCGTATCAACAATATTTGACAACTCTATGTATAAAATAAAATTTCAGAAATATACCTTCTTCCTGAAAATACTGTTTTCCTGAGGAAGTAATGATGAAAAGAACTAGACTAATCCAAGCTTATCAATTGTTAGTTATTACTGATAACCCATGTAAGAACAAAGGACACTACAAGAAAAAATATTAAAATCATCATTAGAGGGGCGCCTGGGTGGCTCAGTCGTTAAGCGTCTGCCTTCGGCTCAGGTCATGATCCCAGGGCCCTGGGATTGAGCCCCGCGTCAGGGTCCCTGCTCCGCGGGAAGCCTGCTTCTCCCTCTCCCACTCCCCCTGCTTGTGTTCCCTCTCTTGCTGTCTCTCTCTGTCAAATAAATAAATAAAATCTTTTAAAAAAAAAAAATCACTATTTGAGATGAGTGAGTTAGGGACCGTGTCTTGCAAACTTTCAATTCTTGGTACAGTACCTAACATACAGGGACGAAACAGCTACTTCTGAATGAAAGTGTGATCAGTAAACAAACTTCACAGCACAGGTAAGACATTCACATCTCCTTTGATAGCTGAAGTTTTGAAAGAGAAATTAAGATATGAACAAATGAAGATGTGGTGGCTACAAAGATGCTAAAGAAAGCATTTATTTTTTTGGATCATGGCTAAAGATATGCAAATTTGGGGCTCTTGGTTAGGAAGAACATGATTTCCCAGAGACCTATTGGTCAAGAAGGTATGAAAGACATTGGGGAGGGTATGTGCTACGGTGAGTGCTGTGAATTATGCAAGACTGCTGAATCACAGACCTGTACCTCTGAAACAAATAATACGTTGTATGTCTAAAAGAAGAAGAAGAAGAAGATAGCAGGAAGGGAAAAATGAAGGGGGGGAAATCAGAGGGGGAGATGAACCATGAGAGACTATGGACTCTGAGAAACAGAGGGTTCTAGAGGGGAGGGGGGTGGGGGGATGGGTTAGCCTGGTGATGGGTATTAAAGAGGGCATGTACTGCATGGAGCACTGGGTGTTATGCACAAACAATGAATCATGGAACAGTACATCCAAAACTAATGATGTAATGTATGGTGATTAACATAATAAAATTAAAAAAAGAAAAAATAAATGAACAAATGCTCAACTAAAAAAAAAAAAGAAGGTATGATAGAGAAGATGGAAAGGACACAAGAGAAATGCTCTTGTGGTACAGACACCAAAAAAACAACAAAAAAAGAAACCAGATAAAGGGGTACAAAAAGCTTGTGCCACCTCTTCTCCACAATCATCTTTAGGAGGTTAGAGATGTAACAAGTTGATGTAAAGGCGTATTAACTATGAATATTTGAAAGTAAACTTCTAAACAGAACTTTCCTTTTAATACATCAGGGTAAAACCACATGGGCTTGCTTTTAAAAATATAAATAAAACATTATACTAACTGTACATATTCTGAATGTGTGGTACTGACAGATCATACTAAGTCCCTAAACAGGGATGCTATAAATGCCTACACATATGGAAACATCATTAATTGATTACGGTTTTAGAACCTCAATTATTCTGATGCCAGAAAAGCCATAACTGTACTCCTCAGATTCACCCAGGAAACTCAAAGCCAAAGCTCTCTTGTGAGTAAACAACAGATTCTCAAGTAAGAACAATATACTGCAGAATCAATTTCAGCACATTATACTGGATCAATTACAGTCCAAGATCTACTAGGAAAATACTAGATTATAGCTCAGGATCTCTTCATGTGACACAGCTCATCCCAATAATCCTATTCCACTTACATCCTTCCACCAACTTCTACTCACCATTCAGGTATCACCTAACATATCTATTCCTATGGAATGTCTGGTTTGTCTCCCTAACCAGATCATAGACTCAGAGGGCGAAGACTGGATCCATCTTGCTTGGCAAACCATTTATGAGAAATAAAAGACCTTATGAGTACTGAACACAAATACAGTGACTTTCAAACAAAGAAACGCTCTACTATTGTCACTGAGAGAATGGGTTTATCCTCCCTTCCTACTGCCTAAAATATCCATGATCTGACTTCTGTTACCATGCCACTCTAAACCTGCACCAAAGAAACCTTCTTTTTAATGGTAGAATTAAACCACTAATTTTATTGGAATTTCAGCTATAACCCAAAAGGTCATGTGGACTTCCAAATATATTCACAATCAAAGGTCTTAAGATATGTCTCTTTTTCCATTACACTGAAGTTAAATAATGGAGTCTATCTTCCAAATATACTCTTCTCAAAATGTATTTTTAATTCTTGTACATTTTCAGTTATTTTAGTAGATGTGCCTTCAAAAAAGGACTAAACACTAATGAATAATAATCCTTCTTTAACACTATCTTCTATATAAATAGACTTATATAGAATTAAATAAATATATTTAATAATGGCTGCTGATATCAAGAAAATAAAGGGATGCT